ATAAAAATGCAGATATAAGCTCCGCTTCCAGGCTGCAGGATACAGAGTATATTTACCAATCTCTTCTCTCTTCATTCTCCCACCAACACGAGTCTGGAAATGAATCCATTCTTTAGCTGTGTAAATGGCTTACAATAAGGATAACATTGCCATATGAAGACAAAAAGCGACACTTTCTTGCATGCGTCCCTTCAGGGCCACCAGAGCTGGCAATAAAGAATCTCAGGCTGTTCAGTGGAAAAACCTACAGAGCACAGTGCCCGTGCATGCATCTGTCGCTGTCATTTCATACAATCGTGCCCCTGGCATACTGGCTCTTGTCCAGGGATTTGTAGTTATGCCGCGGCTTGTTGGAAATACGCACTTTATTTTCCCCTGTTTTTATTCATTTTAATTACCTGCTGGTAGGATTATAGAGGTTTAAACAATGGCCAAAATACCATAATTAGGTAAAAATCTGTAACCTTACTATTTTTTACATGAATTTTAAAACATGTTTTTTTACCTCCCTGTTTTAGTGAACGAACATCTGCGATTATGAGCGGTGAACGTAATGTACCTTTTTATACGCCAGCTAATGTATGGCTGTAAGAAGGCGCCCTCCTCGACTTTATTGCGCCCCAATAATTTGCGCAGTCCCTATCTAAGCCACTTAGCCTCTTGCTGATTTGCCTTAAAGAATCCTCTGCAGTACAGACCTATATATTCATATAGTGCAGCTGTGACTATGAGATCCTCCGAGATTTCACCGTATGTTCGTTAAAAATAAAAACACAAAGCAAACTCCACTCCACTCCCCACCCAGTACGAAGCGAATGTAGGTCAGCGTGTGGACATGAGTCTTATTAAACCCCTCCGGCGTATTCATTAGGTCTGCAATAGTGCTGATCAGGACATTAAACACACATGGTTACTCGTTCATCCTGTATATTACTACCTCTTTAAAAAAATCTGAAATTATACAGAGAAATATGTGATTTCCCAAACATACCTCATTGTAAAGCACTACTCGTCATCTTGGCACAATTACAGATGCACTGACATTCTAGTTTCTCTCTGCCAACCTTTTGTCTTAATACACATTATCCCTCTAGATCAGTGTTATTCCCTCTTGTGTGCCTCTAGCCACGTCAACTGTACCACAAACAGATTGGAGGCTAATGGGCTGTCTAGCATAGCACTTTATATAAGGTGCTTCAGGCCTTTGACTTATCAGTTCTTACTCTATCCAAGGTGCTTTACAAAACTCAAACTAATAATCATGAGTATTCTTGAGGTATATATAACTAAACGGGCTGAGTTCCCTACTTATATAACTATGTGTTTAATTATATATCCCTTAAATGAACAATCCAATCTACAGCTTAAATAAACAACTTAATAAATCTATATTTATTTCTTTTAAATTAGTCTGTCTGCCGGTCTGTCTAGTAAAATCTATCAGGGCTTGACAATTTTTCTTTGAATGTAGGAGCCAGCTAAACAAAGTTAGGAGACATTAAAAAACCCCCACTAACAATGCTTTTGTTTTCAATGACAAAAATACAATTCTTAAAGGGACACTATAGTCACCAAAACCACTATAGCTTAATGGAATGGTTCTGGTGTCAGTAGTCTGTCCCTGCAGGCTTTTCAATATAAACACGTATACACATTGCTGCCTAGTAACACCTCTAGTGGCAGTCACTCAGATGGCCACTGGGGGTGCTTCCACACTGTGCATGGAGGCGCTGAATGAACATCTCTATAAAGAGTTGCTGAATGGTGCAGTGCGACGTTTTGCCCTGCATGCGCCATAGCTTCCCAATACTTTCCTATGGGAAAGCATTGGATTGTCTGAGATCTTCAAGATTGATGATCTCAGCCATGGAGGCGGGGCCAGCTGCGGCAAGTCCGGCACGGGAAAAAAGGGGAGTAAAACACCTAATGGTCACCTAAACAGACAAACTTACTGATGACATACACTGATATTGACACACTCACACACATTTTCTCATACACTTACAAATTAATTTTTTCTTTTTTTCTCTTTTTTTAATTCACCCTGCCTCTCTGCCTTCGGGAGAGCTGGGGTTCAGTGCAGCTGCTGTGATTGTGTAATATTAAAGCTATTTTTGCTCTGCTCCCACTCGCGATGTTTAGTGATGCCATATCCCGGATCCCGTCATCACAGCGGTGTGCGTGATGGAGCACAGTAAGAAGAGCAGGAACATTGCAGCATCCTCTCTGCCCACCTCCATTGCTCAGACACCCATCTTGGGGGGAAGGTGGCCAGTTCTGAATGGGCTGAAAAACATCCAGGAGCCAGGACAAAATTTGAGTTTATCGAGCCCTGATATATATATTACACACAAAAAGTCACAGAACCATGCACTCAGAATATCACCTGGTGCATAGCATACAATCCCAAAAGAGGGTCTTCTTCCAAATGTAGAAAATATTTTGATTTGTGTTTATTACTTTTATTGTTTGAATTTCACTTCATAATGGCAATCAGATTTCTCATTGGATCAGCAGCCTGTTTACATACATATCAAGACAATTATTTAATTAAATATTCTGTTTATGCAAAAAAGCATCCAAGCCTTTTTTACATCTATCTATAGAATCTCGTATAGCTTGGAGGAAAGACGAGACGGGGGGATATGATAGAAACATTTAAATATATAAAGGGAATCAACAAAGTAAAGCAGGAGACTATATTTAAAAGAAGAAAAACTACCACAACAAGAGGACATAGTCTTAAATTAGAGGGACACAGGTTTAAAAATATCATCAGGAAGTATTACTTTACTGAGAGGGTAGTGGATGCATGGAATAGCCTTCCAGCTGAAGTGGTAGAGGTTAACACAGTAAAGGAGTTTAAGCATGCGTGGGATAGGCATAAGGCTATCCTAACTATACGATAAGGCTAGGGACTAATGAACGTATTTAGAAAATTGGGCAGACTAGATGGGCCGAATGGTTCTTATCTGCCGTCACATTCTATGTTTTCTTTTCTTTTTTTTTCAATTTGACAATTTTTATTAAGGTTTTGGCATACAGAAAGGAAAGAGGGTTTTCAGGGGGTGATTGTCAATCAAGTAATCAATGCATTGTTTGTCAAGAAAACATCACATCAACATGGTAACATAAAGATAACTCAGATAATATAGAGATACACTATATCTGGTTAGTTCTTCTGGGTCTGTTTTGGGTGTATCTACCATCTGTTCCGTTCTATCAAGAAAATAAACATTTTCTCTTCTTCAACCAGTCGTGGTTGAGGTTTAACATCCTGGGTTGACAATTGGGCAGGGTAGAAAAAAGAAAAGATGATGGGGGGGTGGGTAGGAAGGGGACGCATACAGCAGTAGTCTCGTCAATGATTCTTTCAATGCTTTGTTGGCTCATGTGTGTTTCTGATTGTGGGCAAAGCAAGAGTGTAGAGCTTCACTTAAGATGGTGGAAATTACAGGAGCTGAGAGCCCCACTGATGCTGCACAAGATGTCCTGGCGAGGATAAACAGACATTTTAAAAGGTTCTGGAAGCAGCTGGAGCACAGGCTATATCAACCTGCCCCACCACACAGCACTGACCTTCCTGAGCATACACTACAACCAAACCGGCGGCCAGCAGCCCAGCGCCAGGGCAACCGGTCGACGCCACGGAAGACGAAGAAGCCTCGTTTACCGCCTGGCCATCCACACACACGGCTCAGGCAAATCAATAAAAGCAAGCAGCACAGGGGGGATCCTTATGCGGCAACACAGAGTACAAAGCAGAAACTCAGGCGCAAGCGGCAATACCTCGGTCCTAACCCGCTGGGAGAAAATACCCTGCTGCAGCGCGGTGGATACCCTGTGAGGGAACCAAAACGTAATCCCTTAGACATCGGCAAGGCCCGGCGTGTGAAGCCCAGACCCTCCAGACGATCCAGTACGCACCAGCAAACACCAACTATACCGCACATGTCGCCTGACGGGCCACTGGCAGCCCTGCACGAACTGTCTTCACATGGAAACTTACAGCCCAGCCAGGGAATTGGTTGACTGACTGCTTGACTGTACTGGTATGCCAGACTTACTGCCAGGACAGATTACTCCTACATTGCCAGTGTTGTATGGCTAAATTACCCAGTTCTCTTTGCCACCAGTGGATGCTTAAATGATTTTGCTAGCTATGTCTTTTTCAAACATTTATTTTTTACTTTAAGCCATGCACCGTTATAATTGGAGTGTATCTTATAAATGCAATTCCAGCATATAATCACACTTATAATGAGCCTCAACATTAAACCTAACCTGTGTTATTGTAGATCAGACCTGTCGGCAGTATATACAATGCAGATTTCTCATCTATACATAATTAAGACGAACAGTATAGTCGCATTTAGCGTGGCTTACCATGTTTAAGCTGTCTCACCTTAAAGATCTAAAGCGACAGTAACAGATATTGATGCAAATGCTTCTAATTAACCTTACGCGGCCACTCAATACGCACACCCATAAATAACACTTGATCTAACATAGATCTAGCGTAACATGTTAGGTCCTATAGGCATTTATGCTATCAGTTCAAGCTTTATCTTTTGTTGTTATTATGTCTAAGACCTGGTTACCTCACCATAACGTGACCTACCAAGCGTTAACTCTAAGGCACCTATAGTACGCTCCTGCATAACCCAAGCCACTACTATAGTCTAACTTGGTCTGGACCACCCTTCATTATTAAAAATGTGCCGATAAGCTACTGCTCTATCACATTAGTATATAACGTGCACTGTTCCTCATGGCACATACTTGTTAAAATCCTAGTTGATATTACGCTTATGTCTAACTACTCTCACCATTATCACACTAAACTCGTTAGTAATACTATGAATCGCCTAATTAATATGCCACATATGTGTTCATCACTCTCTGAAATTCGCGCTTGTGAGAGCTACTGTTGTAACCTCCTATGCACAAAAAAACCCCCAAGCACTGTTGTAACCTCCTATGCACAAAACCCCCCCCAAAAAAACTGGTTTCACTTTCAAACAGATGTAATTTACCTTAAATAATTGTATCTCAATCTCTAAATTGAACTTTAATCACATACAGGAGGCTCTTGCGGGGTCTAGCAAGCTATTAACATAGCAGGGGATAAGAAAATCTTAATTAAACAGAACTTGCAATAAAGAAAGCCTAAATAGGGCTCTCTTTACAGGAAGTGTTTATGGAAGGCTGAGCAAGTCACATGCAGGGAGGTGTGACTAGGGTTCATAAACAAAGGGATTTAACTCCTAAATGGCAGAGGATTGAGCAGTGAGGCTGCAGGGGCATGTTCTATACACCAAAGCTGCTTCATTAAGCTAAAGTTGTTCAGGTGACTATAGTGTCCCTTTAAGGGTTACTTGTTCCCTTAAGGCTTTTGTGGTCGGGATTTTACCTGTTTCCCAGGCTCTCGCAAGCAACGTGTTCACCGCTATTAAGATCTGGAAAGTAAGTTTGGTCAGTGGTTTGGGTATATCTCTCGGTAATATGAACAAGATACATTGGTCGGGGATACAACACTGCTCTGTTTGGGTAACATTTGATACCTCCTTTGTGACCATTTTCCAGAAGTCCTGGAGGCACGGACAAGACCACCAGACTTGTAACATTGTACCCACTCCCTCCCCGCATCTCCAACATTTATTGGATACATTTGGATATATGCGGGCAAGTCTATCGGGTACGTAGTACCATCTGTACATAAGTTTTCTCATCAGCTCAAAGTGCGTTGCGCATGTTGTTACCTCTATATGCCATATGTGCTTTATCCCATTGGTCTTCCGAGATTGTGTATCTCAGCTCCTTGTGCCACGCTTCCTGTATGACCTGGTCTCTAGTGCGTACGCATATATCAATGCTGTGTAGAGTACTTTACTCAGGGGGGTAAGGGCTATGCGTAGCTTTTAGAATTGTCAGCTGTGTGGATCCCGTGTCAGCTTTACAGGTTTTCTAATATGTACGACTTTAGTTGGAGGTATGGGAACAGTAGTTTATTCGGCAAGTTGAACCTGGTCTGCAGGTCCAGAAAGGGTATAATTTTGTTTTCATGGAGCAGTTGGTACAAGCGTGTGCATCCCCATCCGACCCATGATCTATAGTCTAAGGTTGGTACTTGGATGCCCACGCTCTGTAGTGGTGTGGCTAGGGATGTTGGTCCGACCATGCACAGCGAACCCCTCGCCGCGTCCCATACCTGAAAGGTGAGACGTGTCGTGTAGAGGATTGTGGCAGCCCAGCGTCTCTGTGCCCTTGGGACCCAGACAGAATGTTCATGGCTCCTCTATCCCACCCAGTGTGCTTCTGTGTCTATCCATTGTGGTCTGTGTGTCTGGGTTTGCATTGGTACTATTATCGCCGCTTTGTAATAGGACTTTACGTCTGGGAGACCCAATCCTCCCTTTTGCTTGGGTTTGATTAGTATTGTGTTGGCCACTCTGGGTTTGCTCTTGTTCCAAACGAATCGGACAGAGTTCTCTGTAGCTTAGTGAGGTATGTGTTCGGTAGGGGTATGGGTAGTGTTCGCAAAAGGTAATGGAACTTCGGGATCAATATCATTTTCACTGCTGCTATCCTTCCCACCCATGATAAGAAGCAGCCCTCCCATTTCTGCATAATGGAGATAAAACTCTGTATAAGTGGTTCATAGTTGTATTTATACAGCGAGGTCAGCTTTTGAGTTAATTTTATGCCTAGGAATGTTAGGTAGTCTTCCCTCCAGTCAAAGGGGTATGTTTTCTGCATCCTCTCTGTGTAGAGTCCCGCCCCAGTTCCATGGATTGAGTCTTGGTTACGTTCCATGTCTTTATTGTTCTTACTGCAAAGAACCCTTTCTTTTGCTGTAAGCGAAAACGCCTTTCTTCCAGTCTCAATGGGTGACCTCTTGTCTGTTGTATATTGCTATATCTGCTATTCCACAGCTGTTTGTACAGACACTGTATGTATTGGCACAGTGCTATCATATCCCCTCTGAGGCACTTTTTTTCTAAATAAGTCCAGTTTTTATAGCCTTTCATCATAAGTAATGTTTTCCCATCCCCCTTACTAGTTTTGTAGCTTGCCTCTGCACTTTTTTTAGTTCTGCATTATCCCTCTTTAAAACTGGTGCCCAAAATTGCACCGCATATTCAAGTTCTTATCATTGATTTGCAAAGAGGCAAAATTACATTTGAATCACGTAAATCAAAACCCCTTTTTATACACGAAAGCACCTTATTAGCTTTTGCTGTGGCAGACCGGCATTGCGTAATTTGTGATCTAGAATTGTTTCCAACTCATTTTATTTAGAAAATTGGGCAGACTAGATGGGCCGAATGGTTCTTATCTGCCGTCACATTCTATGTTTCTATGGTATTGCTATTCTCTACCCCATTTGATGTAGAGGTGGCCTGTAGGTTCCTTATTCCAAAATGCGTGACTTTGTATTTATCTGTATTGAATTTCATCTGCCACTTGCCTGCCCAGTCCCCCAAGTTATCCAAATCCCCATGTAGAGAAGTTATGTCGTGTTCAAACTGCATTTTCATCTGCAAACACTGACAAATAATTTTGATTGTCCACTTCAAGATTATTTATAAATAGATTAAATAGAAGAGGACACAGGACAAAACCATGAGGCAACCCTGAGAACCCTGAGGCATTCCACTTACCACTTTTGTCCAATTTGAAAATTTTCCATTTACAACTATATGTTTAAGCCAGTGTTTTATCAAAGAACACGATTTTTCATCTAAACCAACAGATTTCAATTTTACTAGTAACCTTCTGTATCAAATGTATCGACAAACTCCAAATAGATCTACTGGAACACCCTGATTAGGTGTAACTATAAACCACAGGGCCCCGGTGCGAAAATTGCCCTGGGCCCCCCCCGCCCCTCCATGTGTCTCATCCCCTCCCCCAGCCACTACATGTGTCTTATTCCCCCCCCTGCCCCTTCATGTGTCTCATTCCCTCCCCAAGTCCCTCCATGTGTCTCATTCCCTCCCCCCCTTATTTGGAGTTTGCCCCTCCATGTGTCTCATTCCCCTTTAATCTCAGGCACCTTCACTACAAAAGTGGTTCAAAACTTCTGACCAAGTTGTCCGGGAACCGAACAGTCACCACATGCCAAAAACTGTTCCATAACATTCGCAACTGTGTACCTCTGAGGTGACCGGGGACCCTTGAAGTCTTTATGCTGAAATTAGTTCAATAGCGGTTGCGGCTAAGTACCACTGAGGACAATTCATGGGTTTAGTTCATGCGAACGGCCGCTAGGGAGCTAGCGCTCGTTTCCATTCAAATTAAGGGAAAGTGCCGAACCTGGGGCACCCAGGGTAAGCTGCTAATGGCGGCTGGGCAGGGTAACTCCCTAATGGTGTCTCAGACCTGGACCATAGTTGGTGGGCAGGAGGACAGCTTCCACAATGAGCTTTTCAATTTTAAGTTTAGCCCATCTAATTGCTCTTTTGCAAGCCCATTAAGCATGTTTTTATTTTTTATAGGATGCAATCAACCCCTCTGATTTAAATGTTTTGAATGTTCTTTTCTTTTATCATTTGACTGACCCTTGTACTAAGCCACATTGGTTTTAATTTGTTTCCCAATGATATGTATTAAGAAATTGACTTTTTATAGAATTTGCTTAAAGAACTTCCATTTAACCTATGTGCTTTTGCCAGTAAATACTTCCTGCCAGTCAATAATTTTTAAAGAGGAACTTATCCTATTGAATTTATCCTTTTTAAAATTAAGTGGTTTTGTACAGACCATATAGTTTAGTTTCTAAACTTTTTTTTTTTTTAATCTTTGTATTCACTTCCCCGGAGCGAGGAACAGCATAGGTGAGAATACGTACTGATTTAAAATAATCATTTTACATTAACAAACTTTAGAACATAATGCTTAGTGAGGGGTTATGCAGTAAACGGAAGGTTTTTATATTTGGTATGGGCTAGCCACACTCTAGTGCAGGGGTTCTCAACCCAGTCCTCAGGACCCCCTACCAGTCCAGGGTTTAGGGATTACCTGGGTGTGTCTCGGGTGTTTAGAAAAAGAAAAAAAAAAAAAACACCTTAGGCTCTAAGGTGTTTTTTTTTTCTTTTTCTAAACACCTTAGACACACCCAGGTAATCCCTAAACCCTGGACTGGTAGGGGGTCCTGAGGACTAACGTTGAGAACCCCTGCACTAGTGGGATAGGTCAGCCGCTGGCAGCGAAAGAGAGGGTTAACTAGCAAGCATGGTTAATCTATGCAATATCTAACCTCTAGTTCTGAGCAGGCAAGGCTGCCAAGTGGCTAATGCCTGCTATCTTGTATTGGGCATTGGATGATCCCTAAGAGGGAGGCTGGCAACTTAAGCGATTTTATGCCTCTGGACTATGGGTTATTCCACCAAGTGGGTATATACTGGTATAGAGGAGGGGGGGAGAGAGTTTTTAAGAGTTTCAAATTCCTTAAACGCATGGTGTGCCATTTTGGGGATTAATAAGTGACATCACAGAGCTTCCAAGAGGCCAAAAACAATAAGTGGGTTGGACCAAGTTGGTGTTGTATGCATAGACATCAGTGAAGGCTCAGATTGTCACAGTTGATCCTGCAGGAGACACTGTGTCCCTAACAGGGCAACCACTTTCTGCAGGTCTTGAACAGGATGAGTATCAGTATCAGCGTGGAGAACCAATAGAGTCCAAGTAAGATGCCCCCTGTAACAGATGCTACGCTCCCGAAGCCATTAAATGGTGAATGGCTGCAATAATTTCCGCCATTGCAGAGTGTCTCCAGACAGGTCAGCGTAGAAGGATAGCTCCAGATTTTCTAACTTGCATGGGGATGTCCCTTTCAGAGCCGCTTGCACTGCTACCTTATTCCTCATTCTTGGCCTGCCTTGGTATCTGTAAGGCTACTATCAGTTTCCTCAGGAAGTGCTGCAACTACGCCATCGGTATTTCCCCTGGGATACCTTGAATATTAAGGTTAGCGCATTGTTTCATATCTTCTTCTTTTTTTTTTTGCCATTTTCAAAGTGTTTAATTTAAACAAACAGGCCGAAATTATAGATAAGATTTACACAAATAAAAACAACAAAATACCTAGAGGTGCGGATCAGTTGATGACAAATAGACGGACTCTTTGAATGTTTATAGACCGAGAGAAAATGGAATACGTTAAAACAGATTTCAAGCGTCTGTCAGATAAAGAATAAAACACTTTCCTTCAAACAAACACAACAGGATGAGATGTAATATAGAAACGTTACAGTGTTTACAATGAACTAAAATATAGAGTAAAAGGATAGATAGAAATTTTTAAAAGAGCCGGGTGTTAGGAAGAGTGAAAAGATTAGAATTAAATTCAATAAAATGTACACTGTAATGCACTTCTAACAGTCATTCAATTAACCGATGTAAAGATAAAATGTTTAAACAGCCATAAAAGTCACCCAGAACATTTCATCCCAAAGAAGTGGTCCTGTCATTTTAACCATCCAATGTTTACATTGAAGTGTTAAACACACACCTGGTGGCTGTTGTCCTGACCGCTACTAGACGTGCCTTCAATTCTAGAACTTGGGTCAAACTCTGTCCTGCAATCAAATGGTGCTCACCCACCAGTTCCGCTCTTTGAGAAGCATAGAATTGGATGGGATCACAGAAGACACCAGCATTTCCTGATGGAAATACGGCAAGTAATCTTAATTTAATTTACAATTTTACTAGGCAAAAGGGGATGGACAGTGGTCACAGTGATAGAAAGGAACCTAAGGTCCCCAAAAAACTATTGATTTTTCAGAACTATAGGTTCATTTTAATAATAGCCAATGTCCGCGTACAAATATATATGTATATGAAATTTCATGACCAGTTGTTAACACGTGTATATGGCCAGCTGTAGGATCTGGAATATCACAATACTGAATGTAGGAATTGTGAAGAAATGGCAAGGGCTAATGAATAAAACACTTTAGTATATTTTAACATTCTAGCACCTATCTTCTTCATAGTTGAGGAGTTTGGGATCCCTTAGCTTGTGGTCTGCAACGTACTCTATTGGGGTAGGCGCCCATCATCACCCCAAATGATGTGGACTATATCTTCCTTGATGCTTTGCCAGGATTATGACAGTAAAAGTATAATGTGAGATAAAGTCGAAAACATCTAAAGTACCTAAGATTGACTACCTCTGTCCTATATCATGGAAATACAATGTATTATAAGAAACCACCTGTTGGAACACGTTATAGAATTATCACCTGCGATTACATCCCAGGCCTTCATTAAATCTCCACATGGCCGTAAAGATTCAGCTTATAGCAACCATCCCTTGTGGTGCTTTGGGAGATTGTTCGTGTGAGTGATGAGTTACACAACATGGATCAGAAGGTTTCATATCTTCTAAGAAGGTTAAGTGTCGTTCGAAGATGGTTTGCTCTTATTTGAGGGCTTGTACTTTTTGTTTGAGGGTCGAGATCTGTAGCGTGTGCATTGCTGATATATTCTCCACCGATCTCAGCCTGCCGACTAGGCCCGTGAGGTCTGTGCGAAGTGAGGCTACATCAGCCTGCATAGATTTCTGCACATCTGTCAGCATTTGCCGCAGGGTTGCTGCTGTCACTGGTGCCGAGTCAACACTTTTTGGAACCAGCTGAGGGTGAGTTAGAGTCGGGATTTCAGCACTCCCCCTGATCAGGGATAGCTCCTCCAAGGAATCTGAGTAAATGTTGAGGTTGTGCGCCTGTCTGAGCAAATCCCCAGTATTCATGCTCGTTTTGGGCTTGTCTGGTTTCTCTTTCTTGGTCTTTTGACCCATAGTGACCGGAGCTGTGTGTGGAAGCATTGCCGGGTAACAATTTCCATGCAGAGGACTTGCACCGCTGATCACAGAGACCTGTCCGTCGCATTTGAAGTGTGCAGGCCGCAGGACTCTTCAGGGCTGCCCCTCATAGAACCAAGCCACTAATTCTCCCAAATAGTGGGAAATAGTGGATTTTATTTAGTATTTCCAGTCTAGGTGAAGAGCTACTTAAATTTCTGTGCCGCTAGCTCAGCAGTTTGGCTCCGCCCCCATAATTTTAGTTTTTTTGGGCTTAATATCAAATGATACCATATTATACCACTGATGTGATTTTCACAGGTATATCATACTCTTCGTCTGATATAAATATTTTCTACCTTTGGAAGAAGACCCTTCTCTTCCTCTTTATATACGTTAAAGTGGCTCTGTCATCTCAAACCTTTCTCCTATTGTTTCTCTTCTCTACGTCTTTTGTTATTTCTGAACTATTTCTCTTTAAAACCTACAGTAAGACAATGTACGGACTATTTTGTCTCATATATTTTTCCTCCACTTGGCAATCTTGACAAAGGATGGAGCTTAAGGCAAGCTTTCGTCACGTGTAGGAGAAAGGTACGTTTGAGGTAACAGAGCCGCTTTAAGTTAAACATCTATTAAACTCGCCTTCATTCCCATGCTCGGAATGTTTTCTCACTGGTTCTCCGATCTACCTCCTGTGAACTAAAAAATAATAGTTTGGAGTGGTTTATTCTAATCAAATGAAATTCCATCCACGCCAGAACATATCTGTCTAGGACTTACTGTGGAGTCTTATTCATAGAATAACACTTCACACGTAAATCCCAGACTGACTGTTTAATTTGGGCATAGATTAAAAGGAATTTGAGTCAGATAAACTGGTCCAAAAATCTTTGCACAAGTCTAATTGTTACCAATGACTTGTGTCCAATTTGGATGTTTCTCATAGAGGAGCACAGGGGGGCACACCACCAGTGCTTCTCCATGATAAACAATCCACTCCACTTTGACCTATAGTTTAAAGCGAGAAAGGTAGAAAACCCTTAAGCAGGCAATCAGAAGGTTTTATTAATGGGATTAATGAAGAATCACACTTTTTTATTTTGTTGTTGCAATTTTGTATTGTTTTTATTGTAGTATTAAGAGGCATTTCATGCATCAAAAGTGATTTTGTTTTTTTGTAATACATTTCAAACCTCTTTGGTTAGCTCTTGTATAAGTAAATTCACAAAAGTTGGTTAGCTGTTTAAGTAAATTCTCAGCTAAAATAAATACAGACTGTATATTGTTCATAAAAACAACGCTCCTACAATCTTCAGTAATTTCTGTTCATATGGGGGGGGAAGAGGTGGGTGGTTTGTATGGGTTTCTGTAGGAATAACAATCCAAGAAAAATGATGTGACCATCAAAGCCAGGCAATGACTGTAGGTGTCTTCAAGGTGGATACTGATTGCCTGCAGGGTCGAATGACTGGACCTTGTCCACATCCCATTGTGACTTGTTAGGGCTCTGGCTTGTCAATGCGGTAGCCATTTTGGGTAAAGTCCCAAGACTGTAACAAAGGCATTGGCACCTCAAGGGTCAGTGTGCTGCATTTCTTTGCCATTATGTTGAACACTTAGTTTGTGTCCAGGACCCAACTGAAATGGGATAGCGTTGTCCCCCAAGAGCCTAGTAGTGAATCTTAGGGAGTGTTACCATATAATAGTGGACGGAAAAACTCCACATAAAAAAGGACATGTCCTTTAATAGTATAGGTTGGAAAGGGCTCTAACCGTAACTATTATTGCAGCTTTGTCTACCTCTGTGTGGAGCCGTACCAAAATGTCTCTGGGAATGTCAGCTGGTGCTCTAGCGGGTCTGGTTACTCGAAAGTGAGAGTCCACTGTAAGGGCTTTAGCCCCAGAAAGGGGGTAACAAGAAAGCCCAAAGCCTCCTGAGCAATTGAGGTACCTCTCCTGTGGCCTTGGTCATCTCAGGGACACCTCTAATCTATAGATTCTGACTCTGGCGGAAGTCCTCTATTTGGGCTAGTTTAGTCTCATGTAAGTATTGTATCTTCTGTAGCTGTGCCAAAGCATTAGCCAGGTCCTGTTGTTTGCTACCATATTTGCCAACATCCGTCTCAACTGCCTTCATTTGGCCTGCCAGTGCCAACATATCCCCTCTCACCACTAAGATTCAGTAGACAACAGTGTGACAAACTCCCCTTCCCACGTGAGTTTGCCAGGAGCTCCTGGAGGAACCTGCTTGCCAGCCTCTTGCCCACAGACTATGGGCCCTGCAGGGAAACTTGTAAATTTATACTACCAAACTTGACCGACCATTAGCACTGATTTCATGGAATGGTTTTGGGCATAGGACCATGTGCACGGTCAGTCAAAATTATGACTTCCATGAAAATTTTGAACCCCTGAACCGATCTGGGTGATTTTTGGTATGTTGGCCACCCAGATCAGGGCTATCAAGGGATGTAACTTTTGTGGGGTTTTTATGTGTTTTCAAGGTATTTTGGGGGATTTGTAATATTGTATGTTTTTCTGTGCCTGGAGATAATTAAGTTAGTTCAGTTCCTGACTCAATTATCTCTCAGGCACAGAGGAGGAGTTTGTAACTTGTAACTAGTCCCCTCTCAGGTCCAAAAGAGGGATTATCCTGTTTGTGTGGGAGTGTCAGAGGCGTACTTAACTGTGTCTGAAATTGTATAAAAGCAGGCCATCTGGCCAGATTAAAGTATTCCAGCTTGTACTCCCAGAACTATGTCTTGTCCGGTTACTGGGAGGGGAAAGGGCTACTCTTTAATCACTGTTCCAGTGTGGAGGATTCAACTTGGAAAGTCCTTGTAAGGACTAGAGTTCCCAGGACTGAGTGTCATCCAGTGCCTGAGAGGGGGTGGGGGGTTCTAGAGCAAATTCCTCATTCGGTTTCAGGACCCCAGTCAATGGCGACTGTGGGCCAGAGTGCTGAGGTTTGTCCCCTGTTCCAGCTGGAAGCGGTTCATGGCGGAGGTACCAAGCCAGGGATACAGGGAGCTCCATTACAAACAGTGCCTTTATGTTGGACAGCAGGGCGTTTATATTTGCCTTGCTGCCTGGTATATGGTCATCGTGGGCACTCATGCCGGCTTCTGCCAGATTTGGAATGCCATCAGGGTTATCTGAATCGCTGGTTTCTTCACCCATCTTGACATAGGGAGGCCGCTGTATATTTTGATGCCTAGTCTCGTTGTAGGTGGCTGTACTGCTGCAGGCTGGGAGTGCTGCTCCAGGTCATCTGCAGTGCTCTTTCCTGAGAAGGCTGTGGATGGTTTCCTCACCATCATCATCTTGGGTACCTGCTGGTCCCCGATATTGTGGGATTTAGCAAAGGAGCTAGTTTTTGCTGTCTAAGTGTTTCCTCATACTTGCCACAATAAGCACTGTTGAAAGCTAGTAGAAGATAATTTATTTCTTCACGGAGCACTGCATCACACGTCTACTCTGATCGAGCACTGGCTACACCCCCAAATACAGCAAAATATATATAAAGTTTGCAGAGCCATGCAAGCGGACGTGTCCTAAACTTGAAAAAGTCTGTTTGTACAAACCGTGTCATCGTTTGGTTGGGTTGTAATGTTGCACACCCGCGTTGCATGTCACGGTGGTTTAACTTGTTGCATTCTTACTCCTGTGAGGACTATTGCAGCTTGACTCCTTTTTGGATGTGATTTGAGATTAGTTACCTTCATCTTATTATGTCTTTAGAAGGACGTTTGTGTTTGTTACTACCAGATACCGGTGTGATTTATCACATAATCATTTCCATTATGGCTGAATAGTGCATTCTGGGTATAATATTGATGTTCAAATATTTACATTCTGTATCTGATGGGAGTATTTGTATGTGCTGCACATGCAGTGGGGTCCAATAACCTGTTGTATTGTTTGTTTATAACACCTTAGCAATCTCTAATTCCTATTCAAACAAGCTTTTTGTGCATTATTTCCTGTTCTCATAGCAGATTGTTTGTTTTCCCTTTGTCATTTGTTTTATTTTAAATGTTTATCAAGAAACCGTCACAGCATTTGCCCTTTCTTCCACAATGATACGCAAGGGATGTTTTCCTCCAGGAGACAATACCAGCCTTAGAGCACAACAGGCAGTGAGCAGATCCAGAGATAGATCCAGAGGATATTACACAGGGAGACAGTCGTACTGCTAATTATTAACTGCATTTATGTTATTTGTGTCCTGCCAGTCTCGCTCATAATATCAACAAGTGATGTCACCAAGAGACAAACAAGGTTACTGCAGGCACACGCACGCTAAACCGACAGAATAAAAAGATGTAGTACGAAGGATGGCTTCCAGCGGTAATAATTGAAGAAACCGATAAGGGGTTATTCACTAAACAGAGAATTCAAAGTGAATTTCAAATTCAAAGCCAAAGTAGCTGAACCCTGGGCAGCCAATGGAAAATAAGCAGAACAAAGATTCTATCTCCCGTTGGCTGCATACAGGGCGTGGTTTCAAATCAATATTACCATTTAAAAAAACAAAACAAAATAGTTTATTAACCCCCCGCCCCCCCT